ACTCACTTGATGCTGCTCACTCACTTGATGCTGCTCACTCACTTGATGCTGCTCACTCACTCGATGCTGCTCACTCACTTGATGCTGCTCACTCACTTGATGCTGCTCACTCACTTGATGCTGCTCACTCACTCGATGCTGCTCACTCACTCGATGCTGCTCACTCACTCGATGCTGCTCACTCACTTGATGCTGCTCACTCACTTGATGCTGCTCACTCACTTGATGCTGCTCACTCACTTGATGCTGCTCACTCACTTGATGCTGCTCACTCACTTGATGCTGCTCACTCACTTGATGCTGCTCACTCACTTGATGCTGCTCACTCACTTGATGCTGCTCACTCACTTGATGCTGCTCACTCACTTGATGCTGCTCACTCACTTGATGCTGCTCACTCACTTGATGCTGCTCACTCACTCGATGCTGCTCACTCACTTGATGCTGCTCACTCACTTGATGCTGCTCACTCACTTGATGCTGCTCACTCACTCGATGCTGCTCACTCACTTGATGCTGCTCACTCACTTGATGCTGCTCACTCACTTGATGCTGCTCACTCACTCGATGCTGCTCACTCACTCGATGCTGCTCACTCACTCGATGCTGCTCACTCACTTGATGCTGCTCACTCACTTGATGCTGCTCACTCACTTGATGCTGCTCACTCACTTGATGCTGCTCACTCACTTGATGCTGCTCACTCACTTGATGCTGCTCACTCACTTGATGCTGCTCACTCACTCGATGCTGCTCACTCACTTGATGCTGCTCACTCACTTGATGCTGCTCACTCACTTGATGCTGCTCACTCACTCGATGCTGCTCACTCACTCGATGCTGCTCACTCACTCGATGCTGCTCACTCACTTGATGCTGCTCACTCACTTGATGCTGCTCACTCACTTGATGCTGCTCACTCACTTGATGCTGCTCACTCACTTGATGCTGCTCACTCACTTGATGCTGCTCACTCACTTGATGCTGCTCACTCACTTGATGCTGCTCACTCACTTGATGCTGCTCACTCACTTGATGCTGCTCACTCACTTGATGCTGCTCACTCACTTGATGCTGCTCACTCACTTGATGCTGCTCACTCACTTGATGCTGCTCACTCAATTGATGCTGCTCACTCACTTGATGCTGCTCACTCACTTGATGCTGCTCACTCACTTGATGCTGCTCACTCACTTGATGCTGCTCACTCACTTGATGCTGCTCACTCACTTGATGCTGCTCACTCCCTTGATGCTGCTCACTCACTTGATGCTGCTCACTCACTTGATGCTGCTCACTCACTTGATGCTGCTCACTCACTTGATGCTGCTCACTCCCTTGATGCTGCTCACTCACTTGATGCTGCTCACTCACTTGATGCTGCTCTCTCACTTGATGCTGCTCACTCACTTGATGCTGCTCACTCACTTGATGCTGCTCACTCACTTGATGGTGCGCACATAGCCCAGCACTTTGTTGAAGTCGTCCGAGTGGCCTGTGGCGCCACGCCACGCCGTGCCCATGCAGAAGCGCGTGCTGCCGCTCTCCTTCGCCTGGCGTGGATGGGGGCGAGATGGAGGGATACAAGGCACAAAGCACTAAGCACACACGCAGACAAGTACATATGCACACAGGCACACAGGCACAGAAGCAAACCCCGTGGCACCACGCCACGCCATGCTGTGCCCATGCAGAAGAACCGTGTGCTGCCGCTCTCGTTCGCCTGATAAGAGGGATGAAGGGTGGGATGATACGAGAGATGAGAGGTTGGGACGACACGGAAGATGATATGCGGAACATCGAGAGTGAAGGACTAAATGGATTGTGCCAGAACATCCAATCCGCTTCACCTTCTGCTAAGAACTCACTAGGTTCGAGGCTTGTGTTACATCATGGTTTCTGTTCAACTTGCTACTAAAACGATTCGCTATGAGAACAACTCGTTAAGGCATGGCTCTACAACAGCCAACCCGTTATAGGCTCGCTCACCTCCGGCATGAACTTGCGCAGCTCCAGACTGTTGTCGTAGCGACGACTGCGCTCATTATAAGCACAACCCGTTACAAGCACATCCCGCTATAAGCCCAACCCATTATAATCCCTCTCACCTTCTTGGCAGCGCTGATAACCTCGTCCTCCGGCATGAACTTGCCCGGCTCCAGACTGGTGTCGTAGCGCGACGACTGCGCGCAGTAGGAGCAATCCTCGGAGCATCCGCCCGTCTTCACGGACAGCAGCGTGCACTGCTGCACCTCCCTGTTCCCGTGCACCGCGCGGTGCACCTGCGACTGTAGCGGGGATAATGGGGACGAAGGGAGGAACCAGAGACGTTGGCGATCAGAGCACTGCACGTAGTAGGGGCAATTCTCCGAATTTTGAATCGAGTCAAAACTCGTCTCATTTCTGCGCGCAGTAGGAGCAATCCTCGGAGCATCCGCCGGTTTTCACGGACAGCAGCGTGCACTGCTGCACCTCCCTGTTCCCGTGCACCGCGCGGTGCACCAGCGACTGTAGAAGCACGCGGATGGAGGGGAAGGAGTGGAACTAAATGGGTTGGGATAGGGGTTGCGAAACCGGGACGGAGACAGGAGGATAATGGGGACGGGAGAGACACAGAGTGGTACGAAGGTGCCTGGATTCAGAAGATTCTAATTTCGTCTCAATACGGACGGTAGCGCGGGTGTGTGGGGGGTTGCGGTGAAGGGACGGGGGGAAGGGGAAGGGAAGAGGGGAAGGGGGAGTGGGGGGAAGAAAAGGAGGGGTTGAGGGAAGGGGATGGCAGAAAGGTGCCGGGCTTTAGAAACGCGCACTGCCGCACCAGCCAACTTTACCTTCCCGCTCTACCTCGCTGCGGCAACCGGCAATATCTGAGTCACTTTTGAGAGATTTAAAAGTTACCTCCCCGCTGGCACCTCGATGCTGCCGTGCAGCTACCGCCAACGGTCACAGGCATTTGACGTTCATGGGATCGTCGCCACTGTCGCCTGATTTCGGAAACAGCTTTTTGTGTTACCCCCACTGTCGTGCTTTTTCGTTCACAGGCACTAGAAACTGATGGGATCGTCGCCACGATCGCCTGATCTCGCATCGCGTTCGGCTTGAAACGGCCTCTTCCGTTCCGCGAAACGTCGTGCTTATTTGTTCAGACGTCACATACCCTTCAGACCACACCCCTACGGACCATCCTTCTTCCACGGACCGCACCCCTACGGTCCGTACCCATTCTACGAACCTTACCCTTAGAAACCATAGGATAGTCGTCACAGGCATTTGAAACTTATGGAGTCTTCTCCACAATCGCCTGATCTCGTCTCTCGTTTAGTTTGAAACCGTACCAATAAGGACACACCCGCTTCAGAACCTACCTGTTCTGAGGACCGTAACCCTACAGACCGTACCCCTTCGGACCGTACCCCTTTGGACCGTACTCCTTCGGACCGTACCCCGTGGAAAATAAGGTCGAGCAGCGACGACGCGTAGATCGACTGGATCTCGTCCCTCGTCCAGTCTGTTCTCGGAGGGTTCGCCATGCCGTACCTCTTCGGACCGCACCCCTTCAAGTCGCACCCCTTCGGGCCGCACCCCCTTCAAGCCGTACCCCTACAAGCCGTACCCCTTCGGACCGTACCCAGACGGACCGTACCCCTACGGACGGACCGTACCCCTACGGACCTTAACCCTACCGACTGTACCCCTACGGACCGTACCCCGTGGAAGATGAGGTCGAGCAGCGGCGACGAGTAGATCGTCTGGATCTCGTCCCTCGTCCAGTCCGTTCTCGGCGGGTTCGCAATTGCGTACGCAGCCGCATCGCTCGCTGCTGACGTCAGCGACGGCGTCAGCTGCGGCGACGCGGGCGCTGCGGTTGACGCGGCAGGCGGCGCGGCTGTAACCGCTGCGGACGCTGCTGCTGCAGAAGCGGAGACTGATCCGTTGGATGGCGAGCCGCAGCAGCTTCCGGACTTGGCGGTGGCGGGAAACGCGGAGGACGCGGAGGAGGAGGAAGGGGTGGAGGAAGGACCGACGGACACGCAGACGACACGTGGCGCGATTTTAGGAGCGAGCCGTGAGGCCGTGCGCGACGGGCACGCCAGCACGCGAGACGCGGTAAGCGACGTGGTAGCCATGGGAAATTGAACCCAAGGACGAAAAAACGATCTAGATCAGGCGACGAAGCAGAGTGAAGGCTAACGAATTCTCGACACAGACTGCACTGATCCGACCGTTGTAACTAGCAGACCGACCGATCACGTACTATACCGAGCGTCTGATCCGCCTGCTGACGAATGGCTGAGAAGACGACTTCGGCTGATGCAATGAGAGATTGGCCAACTTTGGGAAGCTCGAGCTTCAGATGAAGCAGAAAAGCATAAAGCGATGAAATCAGGGAAAGGGAGAAGCAGTGAACGGATTGAGGTCAGGTCATGGGTTTGCGGTTAATCTGTGTAGTTACTCCTGATTTTTTTTTTCATGGATATAATGCAGTTCGGCGATCTGAACACGCTTGAACTACTCACTTGTGAAACTTAGGTGAAGGAAAGAAGATACTGGGGTTTGAAAAGTTGCAGCTGGTTAGAAATAGCAGTGCCATAATAAGAATGCTGCTAAATCGTTTGGTTCTGTTGTGAAATCCAAGGCTGGTGCTTGACGATTCTCGGGATTTGTGTGACATGACTATCCGTGTCTTGGTCGGAGTGACACGTGGCATGCACATCAGAACCTAATTCTTCTCCAATCAGAGAGTACCGAGAGTTTGTGGCACTGGCTCGCTAAAGGTGATAGCATATGAGCCTCCTCGACACTGTTTAACCGAAATTATATTTCAGTAGATCATTTCTGTAATGTATTAGGTCCTTCGTCCATCACCTCTTTGAGGCTCTTTTGTAAACAAGTTAACATTAGTCTCTCTGGAAGATCTTGTGCAACAGCCCTCTAGATTTGTGCATATCCTTCTCCGCTCCAACCGAATCATGCGCCTCCAGTTCCTTGCCTGCTGATTCCTAACGCCTGCTACCTCCTCTACTCTTCCTACCCAAAGCCCTCTCATTCTCATCGTCATCATCATCATCGTCCGACAAGTGACGCTCAAGGCTCTTTCGCGGCTTTTGACTTGCTCCCAAAGCTGCAATTTTGCAGTTATCTTCATCATCCTCCTCGTCAATACTCCTCTCAAGCCTCCTCCCTGATGGTGACGCATTATTTTCACCAGCAATCTCGCCATCCTTCTTGTCATCATCATCCAAGCTCCGATCCAGTTTCACCGGCTGCCTCCTCCCATGCCCACTCCCGCCCTGGCTGTTCTCCCCTCCCCTCTCCCCACCACGCACACCTCTCCGCCCAACCACACCACGCTCACTCGCCACACCATCCCCATGCCCAACCCCAAACCTGACGCCCCGGCTCGGCAATTTCTTACCAACCACCGAGCCTTGCTGAGCAGCCCCACCCTCCTTCTCCACACACCCTCCAAGCCTGCTGTTCTGCCGGGAACTAGAAGCATCACTACCAGCCCTTCCTACACCACCATCCCTCTCCATGCCCCTGCTCGGCCTGCTGCTCTGCCGTGTGCTAGCACCCTCACCCCTCCCAGCCGCTGCCCCAGCTGTCCGTGGGCCAGATCCTGACCTCGTGGCGTTACTACCAGCAGGGCCTACGCGGGGTGAGCTGCTGCGCTCTCGAGCCTCTCCCGACGGCAGGCGATCTGAGCCTGATGCTGACACCCGGGGGGATCTGCTGCGGTGCTCGCAGTCATCCTCCTCCAGGTTCCACTGAATTTGGCTTCTCTGCTTCGCTTGGCCCTGCGAATTTGGCTGAGTCCGTGTGGGGTTCGGTTGAGTACTACGTGTGGTTCCGTCTGGCTGCCTCCCGTCTCCTTCCGATCCTCCCTTCGCGTGGCGGGGCAGTGGATTGCGGCGCGCAGCGGACAGCCCCGCTGGAACACGCTGACGTGGCGGCGTACCATCAGCCGCTGCCACGTCGTCGTTCTCCAAGTTCCTCCGCAGCCTCCCTGACCCACCCTTTCCTGACCGTTGATCCTCGTCCTCGTCGTCCCCCAGATTCCTGCACAGCCGTCCAGATGATATTTTCCCTGACCCTGCCACACTCCTCCCTACGCCCCCTGACCCAGCCAATTTCTCCTCGCTGTCTCCTGATTCACTCCGGCCATTCGTCCTCCCATCCATCCTACCAGATCCTCGTTTTTCTCTACTGCGTGAACATGCTGCCCGTTCCTTCCCCACCCCTTCCGCGCTCGGTTTGCCACGCTGGCACGGCGCCGCTCCCTCTGCCACGTCATCGTCCTGAACACTCCTGCACAGCCGCCCAGATCCTCGTTTTTCTGAAGCGAAACCACCTGGGTTGGCGGAAACACTCGCCACCGTGACGTTACCACCATTGGTGGTTACCACTGCCACGTCATGTGACGTAACTCTGGGTACTGGCCCTGTTCCTTCGTTGCTGTACCGCCTGGGCCCACCCTGCCAGGTGAGGCAGTGGGTGTACTCGGATGGCTGTTGCGGCTCAGCACGAAGGTGGTAACCCGCTGGGTTCATGTTCGTCTGCTCGTCGCTCATGCTGCTTCGCGAGCGGCGATGGTGCGACTTGTGAGGAGGACCCACCGTGTGAGGAGGAAAGCCGGGAGCAGCCATTAGCCGTGGTATGTCCACTTGCGAAGAATCTGTAATCAGGAATTCCAAGAATAGCAGGAAAATATAAGATTAGGACGGAATAAGAGCAGGACTCCTGGACTTTCGCAGGAGCAGGGCGGAAGAGCAGGCTGGAAAACGGTAAGACTTCGGCTTTCGTCGACTCAAAATAAACGATAACGTGAAGGTACGGATGATGTAGCCAACTCAAATAAAGGAAGTGTCCAAAACAGCACACACCTGGGTAAAGGTCCTCGGACTCCGCACTATTCGACAGCGTAGAGTAATGAGGTGAATCTTGAGTCGACTCAAAGTCGCCTCAGAATAAAAAAAGCGTCAAAAGCAGCACACACCTGGGTAAAGGTCGTCAGACTCCGTACTTGGCGACCGCGGAAAGTGAAACATCTCCGCCGCGCTGCTTCTCGCCGATTGCAAAAGCGCAGGGATGTAGTACGGTTGAGGCGCACCGGCGAACGACAGCCGCGACGACGCCACTGGCAGCACCCCTGGCGGGCCCATGAAAATCCCTTGACCCGCCTCCAGCGCCGCCGATTGCGGAGAAAACGCGGATGAGCTTCCGCCACAAAGGTTCTGCGCACCGCGGAAGCACGCGGCGGGAATTCTCGCTGGACTTGAGCCGCAAGAGGCCGTTGAAGGCGGGAGCGCTTCGAGCTGGCGCCGCGGCGAATGAGAGCCTGTGCGCGGTACCGTACCAGCGGCGTTGGGATGTCGCAAGCTTGGCGGCGGATGAAACGGCGCGAAGCTCGTCCGTTGCTGGGTAAGGCCTACTACGGGGTTCTGAGACGTCTCAAAGCTTGCCGTACTATTAACTTCGAGCGGGGGAAACGGCGCGAAGCCCGGCGTGTGCTGCTGAGCGAGGCCTACGGGGCCTTGGCCGCGCGTCGGCATGGTGACGAGAGCTGGAGGAGCCGCGATGATGACTGCGCGTCGACGCGCGACACTGGACTGGGTACGAGTTTGACTCTAGGTTGACGTTAACTCGACGATATATTGAGTTTCCTAGTAGCTGTGACGGTAATTTGACGCTTGACGTTAGCCTCCCGATACGCTAGCCTGTCGTTGCCAGCGTTATTAATGGTGCATTGTGGCCTCACTACGACAAGCAATGGTCAGTCATTCGTGCTAATGTTGGTGGTCGGAAGAAGACACCATGACCAGCATTTGAGGCTTCAACTTGAAGACCGCGACGCCCTTGTGCGTGGTGCTCCTATCGTGATATCGTACTACACGTATGGTATTAGGTAGTGGTGCTTCTTTCTTTCAAGAAAAAATCCTTTCCGCCTAACGCGACAACGCATCAGCAGCAACCCACAGATCTCGTTCGCTCCCTCCCTCCTCCCGTGGCTCGACCCTCACGCTTTGCTTGGTTTCCTGTCCTTGTGCCTACCCCGGTTTCGGGACTACAGCTAAAACAAAACTGTTCATCCTGCAAATTTATCTGTGGTAGTGAGAAACAAGGAAACTTGCAACTGGAGTTTTGTTCCTCAGCTTCCCAGACGAGACGCATGGTTTCCCTCGAAACCCTATCCAACCGTTTTTTATTAGCACTTTAGAGCTCTAAACCAGGGGAGACCTGAGTGAGCCGTTTCAACCCATCCTCAGGGTACCATACATGCCTTCGCTGGCTGTACGAGAATTTCGTGCGATTTCCCCCACAGACGCGACTCGATGTAGAAGATTGCGGCTCCATGATGATGAGCAGCGGTGTGATGTCCATGTGCCTCGGCAACTGGGATGTGAGATTCACAAATTCTATTCTGCGTCAACAACTGAGTTTTTTCACATGCCATATCCATCCATACAGTCGTACATTGGCTTCTGTTGGGCAGGGCACAATAGGGCGTGTCCAGCGCGTACATTTTGGGAAAGTAGTACCTTCACACGTTTCCCGGCTCAAAATATCTCACTGTACCAAAAAAACGAATATAAGGCAAGTCGAGTCCGAAGGAGTGGGCCTTCCAGCGCGCGGACACAACCCTCTGCACACAAATTTCTACAGTTCGTGGAAGACGAGGTAACTGTTTGCCTCGTCTATCATCGCACAGAAATTCACGCACAAGCGAAAATTCCTCGCTTGAACGAAAATTACTGTAGCGGGCAGGACGCAATGCTGTATCATTGTTCGCGCGACACTCATTCCAGTAACGTGTGTTAGACGATTCGTCGTACGTGCAGCGGGCGTGCCGTTTTGTGTACGGAAGCTGATCTTGTCCAACCTTTTTGTAAAATGCAGTGTTACAAAAGAAAATGTGGTAACCGAACGGGTTTATGAACTGTAAATGTACGCGCTGGACACGCCCTCAGACCGCTATTTGGAGGAAAACCTTGACAAGAACTCAGCGGGGGCGAGAGCTCCACCAAGATTCAAGAAAAATTGCAACCATTTTGACGCGCCAGTGAAGATATTGACAGGCTAAGAACTGTTGCTGCTGGGATTGCGAAGTGAGGCCTCCTCGCGTATCGAGTCAGCTGGAATCAAGCTTGCACTGCTGTTGCTGGTTGTCAGAAGGACCAGGTTCAGTTCTCGCTTATGCTCCATCCGCAACTCGTTATTGAAGCTGCTATCGTGTCGTTAAGAGACCACTTGAATTGAAGTGGATAGTGCATCAGAACAACAGACAAATAAACGCGTTCAGGTGGTAAATAAACAGCATCCAGCATTAGGGCAGGAGGGTGGGAAGACTATAAATCGTGGCTAGATACATTGCTCCTAAACAGAAAGAGGAAAAGGGGAAAGCGAGACATAGATGAAGGAGAAGGGAACTCGAGAAAGATGTTGGGCTGAGAACAAGCCCTTAGGATCTTTTCAAGGCTAAGACTTTGGGTAGAGATGTTGTAATTGAGGAAGCGTATAGTAATCTTGTCGAACCACCTTGCACTAGTGTGTGAGAGCAAGAGATTGATTATAGTAAGGTAATACAAGGTCTTTTATAGGATTACAAGGAATATGAAAAGGTGCAACTAACTGTTTTGTTGTTGCGGTTCGATACAGTAACGACTCGGGCAACTGCTCAATACCGAGTCAGTTGTTTGTCCTTGATGTCACGCTGTATTTCGTCGAGTCAAGGGTCGCTGACCTTAGACATTCACGTAACTTTCAGATGTTACGTTTTGTTAACCTCATTGGTTGACTCATTTGTTGCTTCATTGTAGTCTGCTTCGTTCGTGTTATTACTTCGATACTTCAGAAGCGCCAACTAGTATGTGTTTCCAACAAAAGAAAGGGAAAAGGAAAGAAAAAATCCTGTAATAGAGTTGTTGAGGGTATGTTCTTAGCCTGTGTCAGGTTTCCTGACACAAGGCAATTGACAGCTTAGATCGTTCCACGTCATCATCAATCAAATCCGAACCCTTCACTACTTCATGTCAGCCTGCCTGACACAGGCTAAGAACGTACCCTCTAGAGATGTGGGTGGGATGAGATTATATCAAGTTTACGTTTTTGTATTTCAAAGGCAACCTACGGTAGCATTTGTATTTCAAATATCTAGATTGTGCCATTTTCTGTCAATAATTGATGGTGATGAAATGCATATGCCGGTACCTGCTGCGCGCAATGGAGAAACCCCAGTTCCGTTATATGGGATTCGCAACTGTGAACTTTATGCAGTGCAGAGCCATTACACATGCTCGACCATGCCGGATGGATATGTGAGGTGGTAGCTCAATTGTGACAAGACTCTGAAAAGAGTTTGCAATGCAGTCGTCATAGCAATGCAGTCGTCATAGATTCATCATCAATTTACATGGCACAGAATATGTTTCAATGGTACGCAAAGCTACCGTATGAAAGTAAGCTAACTAGCATCGATGCATAATGCGCAAGGGTGGGACGGGCGGGAACTCAAATTGAGATGAGTGAAATGAGACTAGGTGGCAGGTCTGTGGACCTGCCGAAGGATAAGATGGGAATGCCTCTTTATTGCATTCCCCTTTTCCGAAGCTTGTCACAATCATTAAATTTAGAAATATATTTCTAAATTGTTCATATTGTGACAAGACTCTGAAAAGAGTTTGCAATGCAGTCGTCATAGGACAACGAAACATCATGGTAGGGGGCGGTGACGGACGCGGCCGACAGTAGCCGCATAACGGGTTGCAGGGCTTTGTCGAGTCGGGTCTTGCAGGAGTCGGGATGCGCGAATCAACTCCGAGTCAAGCTGGGTGACGTACATCTCTTTCGCACCATCGCTACGCCACCGCCCGAGAGCTTTGAAGAGGCGATCGGGAACCCCAGCGTCAACAGCGAGTGTGGCCGCAGTCTTCCGAAATGAGTGTGTCCCAAGGGTGGAAGGATCCAAACCGTCGCGAGCGAAGGCCTCGCGGCACCAATTCCGCACAGTAGAGTAGGACGGAGGGGCGTCCGACGGCAGCGCGCCCGAACCAGGTCGAAAGACGCGAATGAGAGAGCCAATGGAGACGTGAGAGAATCCCGCCAAAAATAGAAATTCCTTAACGCGAGCAACGGGGCAGTGACGAGCGTCCGACGTAGCCACTGGAACCCAGGCACCGGCTCCCCTTTGATCGGTCTTAGAACGGGGGATGAATAGCCACATGCAGTCAGAGTCGAACTCAATTTGGTGCCATTGGAGGGCAACGAGGTCGGAGAAGCGCAGAAAGGCCGAAAACATGAGGAGAGGAATGAGCCCTTTTTGGAAGATGGCGGGGTCTCGAGAGGAAAAATAAGCATCGCACATGTCGTATATCTTAGAGGGGGGCACAGGATCCTTTGCCCGGTGGGGACGTGCACAAGTGCGCTGGGCGTAGTCCCTAACCTGTGACGAGAGTGGACCCTTGATAGGGGATGGGGCGCCTAGGAGCCAGTGAGCGCACGAGATGGCAGAACAGATAGAACGAACAGCTGACAGCGTCGCTCCCGACCGAATAGAGTATAAGAGGAAGAGGGCCGCAGTGAGATCATTGGCGGGAAGTGGCTGGAGCGAATTTTTGGCGCAAAAAGTGCGATACTGCCGCCAGTAGGGCTCGTACGTGCGAATGGTGGATTGAGCACGGAGGTCCACAGTGAGCGTGAGTAGGTCCAGAAGAAGTTGATAAATATTGGATTCTGCCACACATGAAGATGTTCATTCAAAGGAAAAATCCATGCGAAGAACAATGAGTGGCGAGTTAGGTAACCCCGATCCACCGAACGCATGCACATCACTACCGAGTGCAAGACAATAAGTGCCTAGGGGAAGTGTAATGTGATCTAATATGAAAGAGGCACATGAAGTACCGCCCGGGTATAAAATAGGCCACCAAAAGGCGCTTGGCCAGCGAGGGACAAGGAGTGTTAGCCTAGCACGCGAACGTCGTGCGTGTGCGATGACCGCCGGAATCAATGAGGGTGGGGGAAACGCGTACGCATTCTCCGCATGCCAACTGATAGAAAAGGCATCGTGCGCCACGGCCCGGGGATGGAAGGCGAGCGTACAGAAACGGGGCACGTGGTGGTTGGTGGATGTCGCGAACAGGTCGATTGTATGGGGTCCCCATCG